AGGTCATCCACGCTGTCCACGTCGTCGTGGAGGAGGACAATGTCAAAGAACTCCTCCAATGGGTTCGACGGCAACTCCTGCGCGGCACGAGGCCCCCCGCACGGCTGCTTCCTACACCATGCCGGCAGGGGGAGTGCGTCAACTAGAAGGGGGAAGAAGCGAACGAAGACAATAGGGCACCGACAAGCCTTCCCTGCCAACAGCACAAGTACCTTGTCATAGATGGTCGCATATTACTGGCAAGTTATGGCATTACTCTCTGGGCATTGTTTCCTTTTAAATCTCTGNTCGCATATTACTGGCAAGTTATGGCATTACTCTCTGGGCATTGTTTCCTTTTAAATCTCTGCCACACTTCAACAGTTTCCCCGTCTTCGTCGTCTCTTCTTTAGTCGCCCCATTGCGTGCACCCACCGAACGTCCGGGCGAGACGGCAAGGAGTAAAAAACAAAACAAAGTTAGAGGAATACACATAAAAACAAAGGGAAACATTCCTCGACAAGGAGGAAAGAGAGACCAAAAAAGATCGGCCTTACCATCGTACATGGAGAAAAGAAAGGTGTGGAAAACAAACCGAAAACATGGAAATGAAATTTCATTGTCACAACGATGACAAACCCCGAGAAAAGCTTATGGTCAGATATAGGGAAATCAATTGGTATGGAACTGACGAAAAGAGGGTTCTGGAAGCGCCTGCTACCCGCCGCCTGCGCGGTGACGAAGAGGGTTGGGTTGGCTGGGCGCTTTCAGAGCCTACACTTTGCGACGCTCTCTCCACCTGGAAGAAAAAGAGGAGAAGGATCACATAAAAAAGAATTAAGGCCCGAGTATTCATATCACAGGCTCCCACAATACAAAGAACACAAGGTAAATCCCCATCCTACCGGAACACTACTAATTTTGGCACATTTTCACTAGAAAGCGTTGATATAAAACGACAATGGAGATGCCATCACGTGGAGGTGCCGGCGCCGCAGTCTTCTCACAGAAAGGCCGCCCACACCGCATGCACATTCCGATCAGAATACGAAGGAAAGTATGGCAACGACAATCTCCAATACAAGAGCGATACACACAAGAATAAACCCCAAACCGAGCCCCCGAGAAGTGCCGTTGTGGGTATCAAAGACCACCGTATTCCCGGAGGACTCAGCTTCGAGAGTGCAGTGCTGGCCCATCGCAATAAGAATCACAACCAACACAATAAGAATGGCGATGGCACAGAGCATCGCAGCTATCCGTGGCGCCCAATTCGACCCAGAGAACTTACCCCTCAAGATGAGCAGGACCACAACGGCAACAGAGAGAACCATTGATATGATTGAAAATGCCGCGCCAGCCTGCATCGCCCCTTTCACGCCGCTGCACTCAAGCTTGCTTATTGGAGAGGCATGCTCTGTGCAGACCCCCGATGCCCAAAAATTGATGCAGTAGACCGTTTTGGAATCTGTTTCTTCCATACCGTTCGTTGGCACCAGCATAGCAAACACCATAAGCCCGAGGACGAGAACTTGGACTGCAAGGGTGATAAGAGAAAGACCGAGCTTCATAATTCCTTTTTAGACACTTTTCCTGAGCGATAGGCTTTATACTACCGAAAGACACATCACAGCGAGGAATGGAATAATATGCACGAGAAACTCTGCACAGAACGCCCACATGAGAGCGAGCAAAAAGCAGAGACACAAACCCTCACTGTGTGCGCAGATTGAAAACCGCCAGATTCAGAAAAAAAGAAGAACACCCACCACTACACACGCCGAGTCCACTCTATCGTTCTTCCTCACCATTCCGATTCCTCACACGTGCCATTAAAGCAATGGCTATTCACAATAGCGCCTCACGAGGCCCTCCACAACATCGCCGAGCTTCTTGCACGCTGCCGCGTCGCTCGCCTCCGCGTAAACACGCACGATTGGCTCAGTGCCGCTTGGCCGCACAAACGCCCGCGCAGCCGAATGCGGTGCGGCACTCGCAGCAGCAACCGCCGCATCAATCGCATCCTGCAGCCCCGGTGGCGACAAGGCGCGTCGCTCGTCCGGCGTGTTGGTGACCACCTTGGGGTTGCTCACAGCGACCTTGCTCTGCAGCGACGGCAGGTCCGTGTAGAGCTGGTACCACGCACGGAAGCTCATCCGCAGCGCCAAGAGAACCAACTCGCACGCAAACAAATCCGCAATCCCATCACCACAGACCTGTGAAAGAAGCACAGGCAGAAACTCCAGCACCGCGCGTGCCTGGGGGTCCACAGCAGCAGAAAGCTTCGACGCAATTGCCTCGCAATTGAACAGGACGGTTCCATGGCCGTTGGCCTCGAAGTACACGCCAATGTCACGCTGATGGGCAATGGGGTGCAGATGCTTTACGCCTGTGGCGGTGGTGTACACACGGAGCCCCAGACGATGCTGCAGGTAGTCGGTTGACGCCCCGTTCGCGTACGCTGTCTGCACCGCGCCCACGTCGAGCGAGTGAAGCACACATTCTCCGAGCCAGTGCCGTAACGCCAGAGCGTACAGTATCAGCATGCGGTCGCCGTCCAGCAAATGCCACACGTCGCCCACAGCAGAGTCATGGAGAAAGGCCACAACGCGATCGGCGTCCCCGTCAAGCGTGTAGTAGTGCACTTCCTCCTCCTCGTCCTGCTCTCTGTGCACTGCCGCCCATCGTTTCATGTCAGCTGACGGCGAACGCGTCTTTTGTGTAAAATCAGCACCACACATATGGTTGAGGTCATCCACGCTGTCCACGTCGTCGTGGAGGAGGACAATGTCAAAGAACTCCTCCAATGGGTTCGACGGCAACTCCTGCGCGGCACGGAGGAACGCCTTCATCCCAAGAGTCCCCACACCGTTGGCTGCGTCCACAACGACCTTCTGTCGCTTTCGCTTGCCCTGTGACGGCGGCACCACCGCATGCAGAAGCGCTGCCAGTGCTGAGAGCACATCATGGCGGTAGAGCGCTGGCCCGAAGTTCGAAGGCCTTGGCACCTCCGCCACTGTCGACGGCCGATTGGCCCGCTGCACCATATAGTGCAGCAGCGGCGTTGGGGCCGTGCCGTGGTCGGCAAACGGCACAGCCGCCGCCTCCAGTGAAGCCACCAACGCGCGGAGAATATCCACCCCCGATGGGCGCGTGTCGCGGGCGAGTTGTGCAGCGCCGAATGGACAGCGCACCGCAACTGCCTCCCCTGTGGGCGGGCAAATGTTGTTTGTCGTCGCCCAATCCTCCAGTGCCTTGAGAAGCTCCTCCCCGGTGGCGGCGTTGGCGGCAGCGGTGCAGATACCCTCCCACGACGCCGCCAGCATGCCGCCGTCAACGTCAACCAGCTTCAGGCCGTTGTCTGCGGCAGGGTTGTGCGAGGCAGTGATCATGCAGCCAACGGCGCAGCCAGCAGGCGCGGCAGTATTGCCCACAGCCCACCACACCCGCAGCACCACCACAAAAGCGACACGCGCCGCCACAGCGGGAAGCAAGCTGCCAGTGGTCCGAAACCCGGCCGTCCCGTACGCAAGCGGCGCAGCGCGGGCATCGTGCAGCAGCGGGAACCTCGCAACACAATCGTGCACTCCACGCACAAACGACGAAGGAAGCGGCATCGGCGACGGTCGGTTCCCTGTGGCCACACAGTGCCTTGATGTATCCCACAATGATGTGCTTCTAACACAGTCAAGCAAACGAGGGGAAGCGAGCAGGGCAAGAGAAAGAATGGAAATGCAGAGCAGTGNGGGGAAAGAGGGGGCCTGCAGCGCAAAGGATGCGTCGCCGTGTCTCCTGCACGCTCCTTCAGATATTATTCTCGTCCTTCTCGCTCTTATTTTAGATGCACCACCGCAACCTCTCACCCACGCCTACGGCTGCACGCATGCCCGACACACGGCAGAAACGCCAAGGGGGGAGATGATCAAAGCCGTAACAGAAGGCAGAAGCAATCCCCATTGGGCTCCCACTTCACCGGCGTCCTAAACACATACACGCACCCACACGCGGACCCTACCAGCCCTCATGCGCACCCACGCAAAACCGCTTTTTCGAAGAGAAAAGAAGGTGTACGGCAACAGACACTTGCTAGGCAAATCCGAAGAAATAATCAACACCTAAAGCGTGAGCACACCCGCTGTTCCCTTCCTCTCAGCACCCTCTCTCCAACAGGGGTGCCTTTTGATTCACGCGCTCAATGTGCCACAGAGCGCGGAAGGCCACATCGTCCCCGACCCGTACTCGCAATGCCGCGAGGCCACAACATGTATTTATATGCGCGTGATGTGTGGGTGTGGGCTGGCGGTATCGTGAAAACAACGGGGCGCCAGCGAACCAAGAGGAACCTGTACCACGCCAGCAGCAAACAGGCAGAGGGACAGGAAGCGCAGCACAGGGCCTGTCATTCCGCTATTCCGCCGCCTCAGCCTTGCGCCTTTCATGCCTCCACGCGGAGCCACGGTGAAATCGCGGAGACAGAAAAGCGAAACAAAAGCCAGAGGGATTACTGGAAGCCTAATGCAGCGGGCCACGCTGCAAACCACTATGCAGTGACGGTGGTGGCCCGGGTGGCGGTGGACCGACGTTGTTGCCTGAGCTTCTGGTACCCAGTGAGCTCAACTGCCCATGCTGCTGTACTGGAGGCGGCGGCGGCGGCAATGTCACTTGCGCAGCCGTGGAGATGAGTGGCTGGGGCACAATGTTAAGGCTGTTGAGACGACTTTGGTCCAATCTGGCGCAGAGCGTACGAGGGTCATTGAGAAACTCGGGAGGGCACAAGGTCAGTGGAATGCAGACATAGGTCTCGCTCATGGATGTAGACGGATCGCGGCCAGTGTTGGAGACCAACGCGTTGTTGTTTGGTGTGGGCGTCTGCACTTGTGCGGGGGGCAGCGAAGGATATAACTGCGCGGAAAGTGGTGGAAGTCGAGAGCTCCCCACCGCAATCGAAGGCAGCGAAGCATTACCCTTGGAGCGATCGTATGGTGGTGGAGAAAAGCGGCGACGGTAGTTGCCCCGCGAGGCGAGCGAAGAGGAGGAGGGTGAAGACGAAGATGACCGGGAACGAGAACGGGACCGTGAGCGGCGGCGGCGGCGCAAGTTGCCACCGCTGCCATTGTTGGTAGCGCGCCTGTCGGAACGGGGGGCATCGGCGGTGCCACGACTGCGTGCCTGCTCGACTGTTAGCACAGCCCCCTTAAGGACATGTGCCTCTTGTCGTATCAGACCCGGCGGTGCGCTCCGATACAGCACCCAGCCGTAGCCACGCGAGTTGCCCGCAGCGTCGCGCTTCAACGTGATCGATGCCAAGTCGCCAAAGCCAGAGAAGTACCGCTCAAGGTCCTGCTGTGTGATGTGGCGGTGAATGCCACCAACAAAGTAGCGTGGCTCTCTGTTGGAAGCAGAAGAGTCATCAACTGAGACGGCCGTTGGGTCAGACGAACGCATTGTCTCTTGTTCCTGCGTGTGTGTGAGTTTTACGTTTATTTTATTGGTTCTTTCTGCCTGCTGCGGTGAGGGTGTTGTTTCCAGGTAGAAGTCACGAAATGGAATACTGGTACCGAAGTGTCGGTGCGGGCTTTGAAGCTCTAGTGCCGCTGCTCTTTGTGTGCGTTTGTGGAATGAGATCCGTGCTTGCGTGCTGTAATACATACACATACGGGAAGAGAGAAAGAGAGAGCGGGTGAGGTGAGTGATGTATCGGAGAGCAACGTGAAGCACAAGAGCAGCACACCAAAGGGTTTCTTGGGGTGAGCAGACGAAATCACACACACACACACA